GACAACAAAGCATACTTTAGTCAGCAGGTGATTGACATCATTCCATAGTTTTTATGTGGACGACTGCCTTGCTTCAATAGGCTCTGAAGAGGAAGCCAGCTCTCTTAACTCAGATCTCAGAGACATCTGTGCCAAGGGCGGCTTTGACTTAACAAAGTGGATAAGTAATAGCCACAGCGTTCTGGCAGTGATACCTGAGGAGGAGAGAGCAAAGAAGGTTAAGCACCGAGACCTGGGTTGTGACCACCTGTTGAGCCAGCATTGGGAGTGTGGTGGTGCCTACAGACACAGTGTTTAAGTTCTGCATGTCCATCCCAAACAGACCATTGACCCTGAGAGGGATCCTATCCACAGTAAGCTCCTTTTATGACCCTCTGGGGTTCCTTGCTCCTGTCATCTGCACAGCCAAAAGGATCCTTCAAGATCCTTCAATCAGCAGTTGCTCAAGAGTGGAAAAGCTGGATGGAAGAATTACGCCTGTTAGACAACATCAGCATCAGGTGATGTTTAATTCCTGATTTATGAGAGACCACCACTGCTCAGTTGCACCACTTTGCAGATGCGAGTGGGAAGGGGTATGGCGCTGTTACCTCACTGCTGCTGCACAACAGTCGTTCGCAGATACTCAGTTCCTTCATAATGGGAAAGTCCAGTGTGGCACCTTTAAAACCAGTCGTAATCCCCGAGCATGGAATGTGGAAGTGGTAGCAGCAGTTCATATGGCTAGAAGGGAGGAGGGAGCTAAGACTACGTCTCCTAAACTCAGTGTTTTGAACAGAGAGCACCGCAGTGTTGAAATATATAAATAACGAGACTTCCTGGTTTTGTGTTTTTGTGGCGAAGTGAGTGTCAGAGATCCTCAAGGCTTCTAGGGCCTCCCAATGGAGGTATGTGAACACAACGCATAACTCGGCAGACCTTGCTTTCAGAGGTATGAAGATAGAGACTTTTCTACATGACACTGAATGGATATCTGATCCTGCATTGCTTACACAGCCAGAGAACGACTGGTCTGTGAATCCAGAGAATTTGCAAGAACTTCCACATGAAGACCCTGAAGTCAAGGTGTTTGCTACTATTGATGCAAGCACGTGATGTTGATCGTCCTCTGACCCTTTTGATCAGTCATACCTCATCCTGGACTCATCTTATCAGGGTGATGGGTTAGATTTTGAGGTTCAAGACATTGTTTTTGCTTTGCAGGAAGAACAAGACACAAGTCCAGTCTGCATCTGATACAACTCAGTCTGAAGGTGTTCATCATAGGGTTGAGTTCTACAACGGCTTTCTTTCATTGGGAGAGACTGAGGATGCTGAGATGCAAATAACCAAGTTCTGTCAGAGGAAAATATATGCAGAAGAAATTTCCTGCCTCCAAAGGGGACAGAGTGTGAAACAAAGCACTCACATATATGAGTTGAATCCTGTTTTGGAGGACTATGTGCTGCAGGTTGATAGATGTCTCAGTAGGGCAATGGGAAAAAAATTCAAAGCACCCTGTCATAATCGCTAAAGATCTTCACATTTCGCATATTCATAAAGAGGTCATGGTGGAAGGAACCACATACTCTCGAAGCTGCATCAGAAATACTGGATTCCTGGTGCTGGTACTTTGACTAGAAACATTATGTCGAAGGTAGAACGTTTCATGGAGTTGCAGGCCAGCAGCAGATGTGTGGCTTGCCCGAAAGCAGATTTGACCAACTTTGTGGAAGCAGAGCGTGACCTGACACGAGCTATGGAAGAAAATCAGGAAAAGATCTCTGATACGCTGTCTTTGAAGGGAGTGAAATGGCTCTTTAGTCCTCCAACTGGATCGCATCATGGCGGAGCATGAGAGTGGTTGAGTCGTTCTGTCAGAAAGGTTCTTAATTTCACCCTGCAGACACAGCATTTGGACGAAGAAGGACTCCAAACTGCTCTTTGTGAAGTGTAGTCCATCCTCAACAGTAGACCCATTACACTGGAACACCAAACCATCTCCTCCTTCTCAAAACCAACCCGTGTTTACCCGTCTGTTCCAGAAAGGTAATCTCTTAACGATGGAGACAGGTCTAATATATATCTCACCTGTTTTGGAAAAGATGGATTAAAGAATACTTGCCACAACTTCAATAGCTCCAGAAATGGGGAAGGATTAAATGCAACTTTATTCCTGGAGATGTGGTCCTCATAGTTAATGACTCTGCAACTCGTGGTTCCTGGATTATTGGCAGAGTCACAGGAGCTGTGCCAGAGAAAAAGGAGCTTGTATGTCAGGTCTGGATTAAGACCCCAACCAGCCGTGTGTGCAGACCCGTCACAAAGGTATGCCGTCTTCAGGAGACCTTTGACCCATAATGATGACAATTTTGACACAGCGTGACATAACTTACTTTGATTTGACTTTAACACTAAGAGAGATACATCACAGACTGACTATATTTAGGCTATGTGCTGGTAACCTTTGGCCTATGACTGACTGACCATGTGTGGACAGAAGAAGAGAAGAAAAGAAAAGAAAAAACGACTTCGGTGGACTTTTTGAGCATGTTATGTTGTCTAACTGGGTGTCTGTGATGTGACGTGTACGTCTTGTGTCCAACATGTAATTATTACAGTACTGATGCAGGCAACAGTACTGATTAGTTGCTGGAATGTGGTTGATAGGCATAGCTTTGGGTGTTGGTGTGAAGTGGGTGATGGGGGAAGTCGACTGTTGCTGACCGCTCAAGCTTGGAGTGTTGTCATCACTGTTGTTTTGGATGGATTTTAACAATTTTTGATACCATATAAAGAAGTCTTAAATTGAAACTGAATTGCATTACATTGGCCTCTGTATGGAATCTGGAATCTTCCCATCCACCTGTTAGTGACCCTCCATCTGAATTATTAATATTAATATTAACAAACTAGCAGGTGGAGAAGGCCCCTACTGGCTCATATCTATGGGGGTGATTTCTGCTAATAACGCCCATTGTATAGACTGATAACATCCGAAGTGCATAGGGATAAATCGCAACTGCTGAAACTTTTTGGAATAGGGTTTGCAGATATTTTTTTTCTTTGAGTACTAGAAAGAAAACAGATTTCACTACTTGGGTAACACAGTGATACAACTGTTAGCAATGTCACCTGAAAAACATTTTATGACATTACCTTTGCCAAACACATCAGTGTCACTGAAAATGGTGAATATGAGCTGATTTTTCCACAGGTTACTCATCAGAAACATTTTATATTTTATATTAGTATCTGGTCTTCTCTGATATATTTTTTAATGACAGTCCTTGTGACTGTCAGTCAAAAGGAAAGTGAAGTTTGAGGTCACTGAATTTATCCTTTCCCCTGTTGCAAACTCATTGTCAATTCTGCCATCTGCTGACATACAACAGCAACTGGAGAAAAACTCTTTGCTGCTTATACTGAATGGGCTACACTGTACTGAAGTCCCTCTATTTAACACAATGATAAAAAAAAAAACCCCAAAACTATTTCATATTCTCATAATATCTTTTAAGAGATATGCTTAAGAGGTATTCCAGGTTGATTTGTTAGCGTCTATTGGCACTGCACTTCATATAAAATGTGCTCGGACACTTGTGTGTCAGTGTGTGCATTTAAAAAACAAAACAAACCCCCCAAATATGTGGTGACGTACACCAGAGAGGGCAAGTAAGACCTAACCTGATCTGATGGGGACCAACTAACAAAAATGGTCAGAGTCAACTGGTATTATGGGAAAAGAAAGGAAAAGCACTGTTTTTCATAACTAGATAAATAGCTTAGAACATAATTATAGCATACTTGTTAATGGTAATAAGCAGGTACATTAACAAATTCTACATTTTCAGGTCAAATTATCACTTGGGCAAAGATAGGCAACTATCCATGTTCCCCAAAGAACCATATCATAAAAATTATCACTCATTAAAATATAGCATAGATCATGCAAAGCTTGAATGTGTAGTAGAAGCTCAACAAGGGGCTGCATTCTCCAATCTCCATTCTTGTCACATCTTAGAACTCAGACTTTTAAAATAACTCCAAGTCATGCCACTTTAAGAAATCCTTTCAGAGTGCATGTATTAGTACGTATCATGTATTAGTACATGATATTACCAAAAACCTTCTTTTTCTACTGATTATTTTGAAATGAATGCCCAGATCGAAAACCCTTTGTGCCAATTTCTTTTTTTTTTTTCTTAACTTTTCTACATAAGTAAAAGCCACTTGTTCTGATTAATTAATCATTTCAGGAAATAGTAAAAAAATAACCATAAATGTGGTCCAAAACCTAAGGTAACCATTTTGAATGTTTGTGATTCTTACCTAAGACGTTAAGGCAACATGTCTCTTTCACCCACTTAAACAAGCAGTTTTTTCTTCTTTTTCTGTTTAAGTGCTTTCTGTTTAACAGTAGTGCCACTTGGGTTTAGTACCTTAACCAAGGATTTTTGGCATGAGTTGGCTAAGTGAACCACCAACCTTCCAAATTAGTAGATGATCTGCTGTATCAGGTCAAGAAAAAGTCCCTTTTAACAGGAAGAAACCTCCAGGAGAACCAGGTCTTCTGCTGCAACCAGTTGGGAGTGAGGGAAGGAAGACAGGACAAAAGACGTGTTATGGGAGCGAGCCAGAGATTGTGATACAACATACAAGAGAAGGGCTGAAATGAAAGAATGAAAGACCTATAAAAAGGACACAGGCTTTTCAAATCCTAAATAAATTAATACAGAAAGCGCTTCTTTTATGTATAAATGAAATTGAGTATGTATGACTGAAGAAACAATAAACAGTAAACCACTAACACTAGTAGACTTTACCACTAACTAATAATAACTTTATCATTGTTCTAATATTGTTAAAATACTTTATAACATATAAACCGTTAATGACGATTAGAAAACCTAATTACGTATTAGTATGTCCACATACCGTTACCAAAGCCTGTACAAATGACAACAGGTCAACAACGTCATGACGTCACCCAGCGTTACTTCAGCCCTGAAGTAGTTCGAGGCGCTCTCGTTCTGTCCTGACCGCCTAATAGAGAAGCTTTATTTTCTTTCGATAGTGAAAACACCAGCGAAGAACGGAAGCGAAATAACGGGAAGAAGAACTCAGACTGTGCGCTTCTGTTCAGAAACCCGGCAACCATGGGAGCGGTTCTGGGGGCATTTTCTTTCGCAAGCTGGGTAAGGTCTAATGCTGCGACTCAGAAGTGAGGTTTTTACAAGCACCTTGATTTAAAGTGATGAGAAATGTAAGGTGTCGTAACAACCTGAAGCTTAGACAGCAACAGGTAGTAGGCTAGTGCTAAAGAACATGGACACACTCAGTTAGCTGCTATATTAATTCCCGTTGTGTTCTGTGATCTAGCTCAGGTTTGTTAAAACAGTTATGGTTTCGGTGACGTTTCGCTGTATTTTGATTTTATCTGCAGAAATCTGAGAATTCCCCTGAAGTAGCTGCCGCGTGAGGAGCAGTTCAAATATACGGCACAACAGATAGTTAATCCCAACGCACTTGGTCATCTGCTGGCATGTGATTAACTGGATTAGTTGCGCTTTGTTACATTATAATAAGAACACAACAAGCGTCGTATTTAGAAATGTCAGTAGATGAAACGTAGAGAATGAAAACAGTGTCTTTTTATATAAGGCAAGAGAGGAATAGCACTACATGGATACGCAATTAGGACGAGAGCAAATACCACAAATATGTCTTGTAATAAAGCATTCAGTTTTTCACAGAGCTGTATTATCTGTCAATTTAACAACTTCATTTATACAAAAAGACAGACACAAGTAAAACTATAAAAAACGGTATTAACAGTATATTTTCTGTCTGGTTTTATGGTTGAGATCATGATGGCCAACCATTTTCAGGCTGTATGTTTTCTGGCAGACATTGTCAAGGCCAGTCTGCAGAAGAACTAAGCTGACCTTGTCTGGCTGGCATACTTGTTGACTATCTTCCAAGTATCGTTATCACTTGACTCCACATCTGGTATTAGTGTATATGAGAGTCCATGCAGTGGTTTACTGTAAATGAATACATATGCTGTCTGACAATGTCAGGCTGTGATTGTTTGTTTTGTTTTTACTACACCAAAACTTTATCAGTTTAGTCCAGTTATTTTTCTACGTAAAGACACTAACATACATATACATATAAAGGTTAGCATGTAGTACTTGCATTATATTACTGCTTCCCACAATCATGTGTCACGTGGGCAGGCCTGTGGGCACAGCCAAGTCCAGCCAAACTAGACTTAGAAACTTTGGAGTAGCAATATACATTTTACATAACGCTAAACAAATATTTTCGTGGCATATTTTCAAAGCTTTAGAATCAATGTAGCTAAAGTATATATTTGAAGAGGAGTCGCTGTGACAAATTCCTGCCCACAGGCCTGCTGGGTCTGACCACAAACACCACATGCTGCCTGTCTTAAATAGCTGCCCCAGTTTTAACAGTCTTTCCTGGGGGTTTTACTGCAACTGATAGCTCATTAAATGAAAGTGAATACTGAAATTTTGATACATTTAGGTACACATATTACCATACTATAGTTTGATACAACATCACACATGATTCTGTAGCTTTAACTGTTAATGTATATTGAATATTCTCCAGAAAGCCTGCATGCCCATAGAGGGCATACAGTGTCTTTAATTCAAGAGGTAGAATAGACCACTTGCATAAAGTTATTGGTGCACATGTTGGGAAAGTGCGTCTCCTCTGTCCTCATAACATTTAAAGCATGTTCCCACTGTGGTCCAAATTAATGTGCCTTTACCACAAGGTAACTTAGCAAAGTCCAGTAGTTTCCAGTGAGTAAACCACATTTGCTTCCTCCACTTTATCTTTCTCATACAAATTATGTATCTTAATACAAATAAAAAAACTGGTCTTGTCAAGGGGACCATTTGACAAAGCTTTTTGAACTTGCCATTCAAAAGTCTCTTTTCTTTATCACTTTCTGCTCACCATACATATTGTTACTGCTGCGTCACTTGCAGACATCCTGAACTACGAAAGTGGCCAAAGTCACATACTGTGCGTGAATTCCTCTGTGCGTTAATTGTGCATCAAAAAACAAATTAAATAAATACATATATACATATAATATAATATATATTTGCAGCATCTATTCTGGCAGTCAGCATGCTGGTTGCCTGATCGGTACTGATATGCTATTGTGGTACAACTTGTCATATTTGTTCCATCCAGCATGAAAGTTGATTGAAGTAGCATTTCATTTCATTTGTGATTAAGAATTTTATGCTAACAAGTATTCTATTTGTGTATACCTTTTTATCGTTTACCTTAATCTTAAAGTGTATATTTGTTTCTTACTCTTCTTATATTTATTGTTTGTCTTTTGCACTGAATGGAACTGGAGCCTCGTTGTCTCATCTCTCTATATACTTTACTGTATATAGCACAGATGACAATAAAGTTTACTTTAACTTTGACCACAATAAATACAACATACAACAATATACCATTCAGAAATGTT